AAACATTTTCCGAGGAAAATTTCGCCTATCAAATAGTTAAAAAAGTGAAAAATGAAAAATATTTTTCTAATTCTATGAAAACTTTCGCCAATCAAATGGTGCCTTAGAATTAAAGTGTGATTAGATTAATTTGAATTGGAAATTTCAAGAAGTGGAGTCTCTTTTTTACGGAGAAAAGGAAATTAAATATTATACAATAATATTATATCTAACATCCCCCTCAAACTCACGATACTATAGCAAAAAGCAACGAGAGCAAGAAGCGAAAACGATGAACTGGATGAGACTTCGTAAAGAAGTCAGCAAGCTGTAACGATGAAGAAACAAAAGATAGAGAAACAGTTCCAGTCTGTAGATGATGGAGAATTAGATGACAGTCAATCTCAATATGCTTCGTACGCTCATGGAACACAGAGTTGTGAGAAATCTAAATAGCACTTTTATTATCACAATACATAAGGGTTGGAGATGATGAAGAAATACCCATGTCTGTAAGTAACCAACGCAATTGTTCTTCATCCTGAAGTCGAACGTAGTAAGTTGACATCTCGCTCTGTTATCTGTGTTTTCTTGGGTTATGGGCATGAACAAAAAGGTTATCGCTGTTTCGATCCCATTAATAAAAGTTAAATGTTTCTCGTCATGTCGCATTGCTTGAGTACATTCAATTCTTTTCTATATCTGATAATACTCATGACATGACTAAAACTGATCTTTTGATCCCTTCTCTGATAACATTGACAGACCACCTTCCCATTCTCCATGTACTGTTGATTCTTCATGTCCTACAGGTATACATGCGTCGGCTCGTGATATCCCTTTTTCCTTCTGTGCCCACCTAAGCACCGTCTGAGATCGATGATCCAGCTCCTACTCCCTCTCTTCTTCAATATCCTCAACGTATTCGTAAGTCCACTCGGTTACCCGACTTTGCTTATTCTTGTTATTCTGATACCTTTTGTTGTTTTCTAACCTCCATTGACAAGCTTTATGAACCTTCTTCATATAAAGAAGCTATTTTGGATCCTCTGTGGCAGCAAGCTATGGCTGATCCTCTGCTCTACATAAGACGGGCACTTGGGATTTGGTTGTATTACCTTTAAGTAAACATGTTATTGGTTCTCATTGGATTTTTAAGATTAAAACCAAATCCGATGGTTCTGTTGAGCCTTACAAGACTAGATTGGTTGCTAAAGGTTTTACTCAGCAATATGGTCTGGATTATGAGGAGATTTTTGCTCCTATTGCCAAGATGACCACTGTTCGTACACTTATTGCAGTTGCATCTATTCGTCAGTGGAGTCTCCCTCAGTTGGATCTCAAAAATGCTTTCTTGAATGGAAATCTTCAAGAGGAGGTTTATATGGTTCTTCCTCCTGGTCTTTTTCACTCTCCAAGATATGTTTGCAAGCTCAAGATGGCACTTTATGGAATCAAACAAGCATCTTGTGCCTGGTTTGAGATATTTTTCACTATTGTTACCTTTCTTGGTTTTACATCGAGTCATCAAGACTCTGTCCTATTCTTTAGATGCACTTCAGCTGGTCACATTCTACTTTTGCTGTATATTGACGATATGATTATTACTGGTGATGATGTTGATGGGATTGCAAATTTGAAATTAGAATTGGCTCGTTGTTTTGAAATGAAGGATTTAGGTGTCTTATCTTATTTTTTGGGGATTGAAGTTGCTTTTTCTCTTAGAGGTTATACTCCATCTCAGCCTAAGTATACTATGAATGTTATTGAGCATGCTCATTTTACTGATACTAAAACTGCTGATACTCTTCTTAAATCCAACGCTCGAATATTCACCCTCTGACGATGTACCCTTAGCTAATCCTACTTTTTATCGCACCATTATTAGATGTCTGGTTTGTTTTACCATCGCACGTTCTAATATTGCTTATACTTTTCACATTGTTAGTTAGTTTGTTTTTGCTCCTACTACAGTTCATTGGGCAACTATTGTTCGTATTTTGCGTTATCATCGTGGTACTTGCTTTCAAAGTTTTTTATTTCCATCGACCTCCTCTTTAGTGCTTCATGCCTACTCTGATACTGATTGGGCTAGTAACCCCATTGATCACAAGTCCACTACTAATTTTTGTATATTTTTGGGTGATTCCCTTATCTCTTGGAAGAGTAAGAAATAGACTGTTGTTTCAGAAATAGACTGTTGTTTCTCGTTCCTCTACTAAGATAGAATATCGTGCTATGGCTCCACTACCACTGAGATTGTGTGGTTGTGTTGGTTACTTGCAGACATGCGTATTTCTTCATCATCTCCAACCCCTATGTATGGTGATAATAAAAGTGCTATTTAAATTTCTCACAACTCTGTGTTCTATGAGCGTACAAAGTATATTGAGATTAACTGTCATCTGATTCGCAATCATCTCCAGACTGACACAATTTCTCTACCTTTTGTTTCTTCATCGTTACAGCTTGCTGACTTCTTTACGAAGTCTCATCCAATTCATCATTTTCG